AGGAGTCCTTCCACAAATTTAAGGAGGAAAAGTTTTAAATGAGTATTTTGTGAATCAGAGCTGCCTAACGCATCTTGTTGTTAGCTTCTTATGATGGTATTTGGCTACAATTGGAAGATGTCTCTTTGTCTTAATCTATGAGTACCCTCAATCAATACTTGGGAAATAAGTCCAATGTAACTCAATATTTGATTTTGCTTATATTTCCATACCAAAGCTTATACTTAGAAAAGTTAAGGTGCTGTAAAATGACCTGAAGGTCAATCAAAGGTGTTCCTATAAAAGAAGTAAGTTCTAAGAGCATGAATTTTGAAAGATGAAGGAAAATAAAAACAGTATGTTATATTATCATAACTGTTGTTGGAATCATCACTCTGTTGGAAGATGGCAAAGCAAAAAGTAAGATCCAGTACATGTTGTCATAGTGGGCCACAAGTTGAAACTATATTTATTACATAATGGCAGTTAAGCCAGAGTTGGAATTGTAAGGATCTCTAAAATCCTTAGCAGGCAATCGCTGGGACTTGGTCTATTGAAGTAGTTAGTACTTGTCAATCATGTGTTAAATGCCTTCCATAAAGTATGCCATTTAGTCCTGACAACTGTGTGAGGTATCCAAATCTATTATCCTAATTTATAGTTGAAGCACGGAGAAATTTCGATATTCAAGTTTTAAATCCAAGATTATCCAACAGGCAATTAAATGCATTTAATGCAAAGTGGTATCTGTTCAATGTCATGCTTCTTACTTAGGCATAATATCTTCTTACTAAGATATAACATCTCAAGGATCATCTGGTGATTCTCCACCTACCAATAAGTTTTTGCCTCGATTACAATTTAATAATTCCTTAAAAATTGTGATAATTCTCTATTCTTATAAAAAGCTTCTGACTATTAGACTTTGGAGCCTTTTGCAGGTTCTCTACCACTTGAGCTATACCCCTACCCCAAACCATTAATAGTTTTTCTGGGATCATTTTTTTAACTAGTGCCAGTTGCATTCATGATAAGCCATAATTTTTCTAAAAGTATGTGCTTATTTTTAAATGAAAAAGATCAATAACAAATACATTTAGATTAAGTATTAAAATCTTTATAAAGAAATATTTGTGATATTATAGTTGACTGGTTTCTATTAATGGTCAGCTTCTTTAGTATGGCTCTATAAGGTTTATGAAACATAAAGAGGAAACACAAACATATCTGGGAGAAATAAAAAACCAAGTCTGAATGAGGATGATGTAGAAAAGTGGGATATTAATCAAAACAGCTTGGTATTGGCATAAGAACAGACCTCAGGACCAATGGAATAGAATTGAAAACCCAGAAATGAACCTACAGACCTATAGCCATCTAATCTTCGATAAGGGAGCTAAAACAATAGAATGGAAGAAAGACAACCTCTTCAGTAAATGGTGCTGGCAAAATTGGTTAACTACATGTAGAAAACTTAAGCTAGATCCTTATATATCACCCTGCACCAGAATCAACTCCAAATGGATCAAAGACCTTGAACTCAAAGCAGACACTCTGAAAACATTACAGGATGGAATAGGAGAAACCCTAGGTCTCCTTGGCTCAGGCCAAAATTTTCTGAATAGAGACCCGGAAACACAACAAATCAAAGAAAGGTTGGACAAATGGGATTGCATAAAGTTGCAGAGCTTCTGCAGGGCAAATGACATAGCTAGCAAGATCAATAGAAAGCCCACGGATTGGGAGAAGATCTTCACTAGCCATACAACGGACAAGGGTCTCATATCTAAAATATACTTGGAACTCAAAAAATTAAACCCCCCAACAACAAATCCTCAAAGAAACAACTGCCCAATAAATAAGTGGGCGAAAGACTTAAAGAGAAACTTCTCTGAAGAAGAAAGAAGGATGGCCAATAGACACATGAAGAAATGTTCAACATCCCTAGCCATAAAAGAAATGCAAATCAAAACAACATTGAGATATCACCTCACTCCTGTTAGAACGGCAAAAATCAAGAACTCTAACAACAACAGATGCTGGAGGGGATGTGGACAGAAGGGAACCTTACTTCATTGTTGGTGGGAATGTAAACTTGTTCAACCACTTTGGAAAGCAGTATGGAGGTTCCTCAAAAGACTTCACATAGAGCTCCCCTATGACCCAGCAATCCCACTTTTGGGCATTTACCCTAATGTTTACAAACAAGACCACACTAAAGCTACCAGCACAACTATGTTTATTGCAGCATTATTTACCATAGCTAAGATATGGAACCAACCCAGATGCCCCTCAGTAGATGAATGGATCAAGAAAATATGGTATATATACACAATGGAATTCTATGCCTCCATCAGAAAGAATGACATTTCCCCATTTGTTAGGAAATGGAAAACCTTGGAAAAAATTATATTAAGTGAAGTAAGCCAGGCCCAAAGAAACATAGGTCCCATGGTTTCCCTTATTTGCAATATCTAGTATATGTATGAGTCAAGCGGAAACGGTCAGATAATGTGATGTCAGGAAAATGAACCCTTAGATGTGTATTTTAATGTTTTTTTTTCTTTCATGCATGTGTTTCTAACACATTTATAAGATTATCTCTTTGTTGCTTTGTATGTCCCTCCCTCACAGTATAACCCCTGCTTTCACTATATTTGATGTCAGTATAACTTGTGGAGGAGATGGGGAAAAACCAGTTGTTTAAGGATACAGGTGGACCTGTTGCAACAATGAGAAGTACAAGTTGTCATGTCGAAAATGAGCTTTACAACGTTGGTGCGGGGGTGGGGGGGGGGGATGGGAAGGAGAAGGATTGGGTTTAGGGGGGGAGGGGGGAGGCTGGGAAGGGATGTGAAGGATAAACAAAGGAGGAGGCTGCAATGCTTGGTAAGAAATGTACGCATTATCCTGCCCATGTAACTGTAACTCCTCTGTACAGTATGTTCACAAATAAAATTAAATTAAATTAAAAAAAAAAAGAAAAGTGGGATATTTCAGCCACAGTAGTGAAGGGAATAAAGGATAATAGAGGGTGGGAAGATAGGGGAAGCAGTAGTAACTGAAATGGGGCAGTTTGTTTAAAGTACAATATATGTATGTGTAAATGTCACAAGGAAACCCCTTTGAACAACTGTCATATGCTTAAAGAATGAATATTACGAATCTAAAACAAAGCCTATCTGGTGATGGGTACTAGTAGGAGGGAGAAGGTGAACAGAGACAGTTCTTTATGTATTATGTTTTTGTAAATTTTGAAGTTCATTTGTGTGAAAATGTAACAATGAAGCTTGTTGAGATTGGTTTTGGAAAGAGGAAGAGGGAATTAGGGAGATTGATGGAGGAGTTGAGTCTGATTAAGGTATATATGGACATGTCAAAATGAAATCTTCTTACTAATTGGTGTTAGTAAAAATGTGGGGGGGAGGAAGGTGTAGGCATGGCACTAACTAGGAGGTAGGGCATGATGCCAAAATCAAACTAGTAAAGATTTGTGACAAACTTTGAGATCTGGAAAATCTGAAGGTGAGGAGCTATGGAATTATGGCTCCAGTGATCTAACTAGTAGAATGATTTTGCATGCTCAAGAGTCCCCTAAAAAGGTAGGCTCAAATTGTCCTGTACATTTTGATCTTCTAAAAATGTGTCCGCCTGCAGGGTCTATATTTACATTATGACTTCAGCAGTGGAAACAGGTGGCTGAGACTTTTAACTTCCCATCTTGAATCTTTTTTTCCAGATGTACATATTTTTATCATATTTCTAATTATAAAAAATCATGCTCATGGAAAAATTGAAAAAAGAAAATTATCTGGACAAAAATAAAAAAAATCAATACCTTAATTCCTAACTTACCTCAGCCCCTCCAATTTGGTTTCAAGAATTGAATAAATAGTAAGGTAACTATTAATGGCTGGGTGGAGTGTGAGGAAGGAGAAACTACTTCTTTTCTGTCCTGGCAGCCTAGAAAAGGGTGAGTAACGCTTTCACAACATAACCACTAAAAAAGCAGCAATAGTTAATGTAAGTATAGAAAGATGCAGCTCCCTGGTAATTGGAGAAGGGTAAATTCCAACCTTAAGGAGAGGGGGCCACTTTTGACCTCTGGAATTAGCAAAGACAAAAATGAGTGACAGGGCCTGGTGTGATGGGGGGTTGGAGGTTGGTAGATCGGACCACTTCCATAGAACTACTGGTGGGAGGGGGAAGTGGGATCAGAGTTGGAGGATGACATAATCCTCACATGACCAAAAGCTGACAAGAGCACAAGTCCTTATATTCCCGGGCTTCTTTCTTCTCTGGGTACCAGCCCTTGCCGCCCTGCAGACTTGTGTCCTGTGGCCAAGGAGAGGAAGAGGTAAATTCCTTACAGGCCAACAAGCTTGTGTGAAGAAAGTGCTTGGATCCCTGGTTGGTAGTGGCTGAATGTAGTGACTGGAAAGATCCAGGCTTGCTTTCCCAAAATGCCTGCAAGTTGGTGGGAGATAATTGTATATTTTGAAGGGGGAGTAAAAGGGCCAAATGGAAGTCTTTAGAGACACACAAATACTTAATAACAGGATTTAACTTCTCTTATCTTGGAAAACTGTCTCTTTCCTTCTCCTTTCCCCAATTCGTTGGAGAAAATGGTAGGCCTGGAGTTGGGATTGACGGATGAAGAAAAGACTAAAATCCTGGGATGGAATCAGAGAAATTAAAGAAAATCTGAAACTAATTTGCCTTCCTCAATGCAGGCATGCTACAGTGGTGGTGTAGGGAAGTGCAGGGGTGGGGGGATTGTACCAGGACCAGGCTTGAGTGGGAGATGGCAGGGTGGATACAGAAATATTAGAGGAAGGGAAAGGAACCAAAAGGGAACCTGGCAGTGGGTGATTTGGAGTTGCCTGAGTGATGAGAAAACCAGATTCCAGATGTCTGGTTTCTGAAACAGGTTGATCTACAGAGAATTCCATCTTCTCCGCCCCCTTCCTTTAGTTTGCAGGTCCAAAGGGCTGTATTTGCAGACACTTTGAGGCAAAGAAAAAGAGCAGAAAACAATCTCGCCTCTGCACAGGTCAGTGTGAGGGAGGCCCTTGAAACGAAATTTCTGAGAGCGAGAGTTGAGAAAGGCAAAAGCCGGGTAAATTTATGGCCTCACAGTGCACCTCTACATCTTAACCCTTCTCCCGCCTGGTGAACAAGCTGTTAGCCTTGTCTGCTAGGGAAATGGTATGTTGGGGGTGGGGATGAGGCGAGTAGAGTGGGAATGGAGCCCAGAAACATTTCCAACTCTGTGGGCTGGACTTGAGGGGAGGGTGTGAGGGATTGGGTGAGTATTCTGCCTCAAAGAGAGACTGAGAACCCTGATTCCAAAGTGCAGAAGCAATCGATGTCTATTATTTTCTCCCTAAAGAAAGCAGAAGACGACATCATGCAGAAATCCTGCAAAGAAAATGAAGGGAAGCCCAAGTGCACCATGCCAAAAAGGGAAGATGAACATCCTTGTGGAGGATTTGAACGCCAGCAAACGGAAGGGAATTTTAGGCAGAGGCTGCTTCAGTCTCTCGAAGAATTTAAAGAGGACATGGACTACAGGCATTTTAAGGATGAGGAAGTGGCAGGAGAGGAAGATGAGATGGAAAGGTGCTTAGAAGAGATAAGAGGTCTGAGAAAAAAATTTAGGGCTCTGCATTCTAACCACAGGCATTCTGGAGACCTTCCTTTTCCCATTTAAAGCATCTCTCACTAAATCATTTATGTTCTGTTATTAATATTGCCCCTGCTTTCTTTGTATCTTCACTTTCTTGCTAAATAGTTGCTATCTTTATACTCTAATTCTTGAGTGGTTACATCTGCACACAACTTTTATTGCTAACATCTCATCTTTTAATTCAGTCTCATCCATTTACAGGAAATCATGCTCATCTAATCATGTATTATAAAGTAAAAACAACACGCTACCAATGTATATGTACATTTATATATGACATCATGTAACATGACACGTCTCAATTGTTGTACACCAAAAGTTAACAGGGAATCTCTATGTGATCTGCATTTTCTTTCTGTATTGCCTGTCTACATCTTCTCATTTCCAAAAATGAATATTTGTATGTGTATTGCACACACACACACACACACACACACACATACACACAAACTAGGCACAATGAAAAAGCCTGTCAGTCACTTTTGAAAGGCAGTAAAACGTTTAATAACAGAAATATAAAAAATGTAAACTGTAAATTACCTCTGGCTCTCTTCACCAGAGAAATAAACTGGCAACTATTATAAGAAACATATGTTTAAGGCTTGATCTTTTCATGGGGAAAATATTTGCCTCACAGTGCTGCTGTGGGAAAGAACTGTCAGACAGTGCTTCTGAACTGTATTTGATGGGACCTTGCTTTTGCCTGTGCAATAGAGAAGCCCAACCTGCTATAAAACCATCAATTATTTGAGGGAGGACATGGTGTGATTCCAACTGCTCAGGAACATATCTCATAGGCAAAAGTGGGAGCTTCCATTCCAATCCTGTGCTTTTGATCTCTATTCCTATTTCCTTGGGTCCTTGGCTCTGGGATGTCAACATCTCCACTCGCTACTAGTGCATTTGGGACTTTTGAGTGTCAAGAATCTCACTAAATTTCCTGGAGTTCCCAGTGGGTTTAACTCATACTCTTTTCAAACCTCTCTGCTGTATAATGACACTTAAACAGATAGGATGGCTCTATGGGTACTGGGGCCACAAGGTTTTCACAGTCCTTACCAAAATGGCAAATGTTTTCAATCACAGGACCTTTCACCTCCTTAGGTATCCTATGTGATGAATCCATTTAGAAGTGGAACAAGGTACCAGTTTGATGAAATATATCATACTATACTCAATATTGCTGCTCTTAAGTTCAGGGACTAAAGGTTTCATGTTCATCCTGTGAGAAAAATCTCCAAGAACACTGATGGAAGGTCTAACATTGTTTCATCAGATTCTCAGGGGACATTTATACTGCAGAATGTGATGCAGGGAATAGATTTAAGAGAACAGATTCTTGCTTGCCATCCCATCTCTTCTTGAAACATGTAAAACTGCTTTGTGGAACTAAGATTATATGTACATACATATTTTTGTAAGACATAGATACTAACATAGTAGAACTAATATATTAGACTACAAAGCACACACATATTTAAGAGCACTATTTTCTAACTGAACTTTTTACATTCTACATGATAAAACAAATACAATATATTTTCACTATAGTCTCATTTATTGATTCTGTGATTAACATATAGTGGATATTTGATAAATACTTATTTAATTAGAATTCTAGTACATAGTTTTACTTCTACTTATATGAAATTGGGGAAAATAACTACTTCACTTAGAAACTACCTTACACTTTCAAAAGGAACTCAACAGGAATTTCCCACATTCAGTCTATGAAATGATTGTATTATTTTGTTACTGGTATCTCTTTTAAAAGTCACGTCTACATTGCTAAGGGTCATTATAATCATCTAGAGTATGTATTACTTAATAAAATGCAAAATGCCAATATATCTTACTCACTTAATCATACTGTTACAAACACATTGAGTCTGAATCTCTGTGCAGTTGGCCTGGGAATCTTCCATGGTGATGCTCCTCTGAAATGATAGCCTCTTTCCTGCCTTATAAACCCTCACCATAGACTCTCAGCTAAGCTGTAGAAAAGGAACCTCTTTCTTATCACAGATGCCCTGGATTTAAAATTCATAATTAGAGGCTCCTAACAGTGAAACCATAGTTACTATAACTTGAAAATTCTGAAAAGAAGATAGAGTATCTATCAAATAGACTTATGTGAAAACAAACATTTACTCTTAATAGGATGCAAAAAGACAATAAAAATAGCAAAGTATTAGTCTCTATACAAGAGGCAAATGTATGTTTACTTGCAACATTCAATTTTATTGAGGATACAGGCATTCTCATATTCAGTGAGACATGTGATTGCTAAATATATTTATATACTTCAATTCACAGTAGCATGCAAAAGTTATATATTTTACATACTCCTTTACCCAACATTCTTTTTGATTGGAATTTTTTCTAAGAAAATAATCATAAAAATTTTACAAAGAAAATAATCATGAGGAGGAAACATCTATTTATAAGTGTATTTGTTTGAAGATTTAGCACATTTGAAAACAATTATTTTTATTTTAACCTAAGAATCAAGAAACTTAGACAACTGAATCAAAAGAAAATGAATAAAGATATCTGCTTACCATATTCATAAAAATGTATCCTAGGAAGATTAAATACAAAAATGTGGAAAAATAAGCCAGGCACCCATGGCTCATGCCTATAATCTTAGCTATTCAGGAGGCTGAAATATGAAGATCATGGTTCAAAGCCAACCTGGGCAGGAAAGTTCATGAGACTCTTATCTCTAAATAAGCACCAAAACAGCCAAAAGTGGAGTTGTGGTTCAAGTGGTAGAGTACTTTCTTTAAGTAAAAACAAAACTCAGGGATGGAACCCAGGCCCAAGTTCAAGCCCCAGGACCAACACAAAAAATGTGAAAATAATTATTAAAATTTGCAATGAAAATAAAGAATTACATAAGAATTTTTTGCTAGTCTCGGAGCTTGAACTTAGAGCCTGGGTACTGTCTCTGAACTTCTTTTCATTCAAGGCTAGCACTCTACCACTTAAGCCACAGTTCCCCTTCTGGCTTTTCTTTTTTGGTAGGTTAATGGAGATAGTCTCATAGATTTTCCTGCCCATGCTGGCTTTCAACTGTAATTCTCAGATCTTAGCCTTATGAGTATCTAGGAGTACAGGTATGAACCACGATCACCCAACGGTATAAGATTTTTTTGAAATAGGGAATCACTATGTAGTTCAAGCTGGTCCCAAACTTGATCCTCCTGTCTCGGCCTTCTGAGATTACAGGAATGTAACATCAAGTCTGACAAAAAATTGTATAACCTTGTAATAGTGATTATATGCTTAAGCAAGCAAGAAATCCCAAAAGTTATAAAAGAAAAAAATACCAACAATACAAAGACAATATATATTCTGGGAAAAAGACATTCACAATGAGCCAAAAATTGTATGAACTTGTAATAGTGGTTATATGCTTAAGCGAGCAAGAAATCCCAAAAGTGGGGAGGGGAAGGGGAATAACAAAATGCTGAAACAAGGACACAGGATGACCCATTGCAACAATAAAGCTCACAAAAAATATATTCATACTGTATAATTCAACCTTTGCTTTGAATTCATATTTATACAAACTCATTAGAAACTGTAGATGAATGTTTTTGGCATTGTATATGGGTGCCAAAATATTGAAAACAGACTAAATCATCAATAAGGAACTAAGCTGTTGTCCATCTGTACTAAAAACACAAAACATACGCTATAGTTCAATAGAAAGAAATTCATACATCGACTTTGGACTGGGATGTGGCACAAGTCATAGATCATTTCCTAGCAAGTATGAGAATCTGGTATTAATACACAATACTTCTCCAATATATCACTAATTTGGAGGATGTGCAGCTGAACAATGTATATTATTTGTCTCCTACTAGCTTTGCTGTAAATGACATCTCTGATTTGTGAATTATGATGATACCAGTTGCTTAGGTTGCTTTTCAGTAATTTGAAGTCTGCTGTTGCTGACTTTAAATGAGCCTAGAAGTCCAATGAGTGACTAAATGAGATGGAAAACCTTAGTATTCATGCTTTCATGTTGTATCTCTCTCCTTTGCTACCTTAAAATTTGCATCATATTTTTGCTCAGTTCTACCTGTAGACATGTTGTTTATGCTTTTATATTGTATCTCTCTCCTTTGCTACCTTAAAATTTGCATCATATTTCTGCTCAGTTCTACCTGTAGACATGTTGTTTGGGAAATGTTTTGTCTGGAACTTTAAAGCAAAATTGTTTTGACCTAACTTGCCTAGACTTTTTTAAATAAAAATGTTAAAATAGCATTCTCTATGATTGTCATATCTTAGAGAAAACAATAAATATAAAATAAAAGCAAAAAACATAAAAGTATAATAAAAGCACAAAAACTATACTCTATAATACAAAGATACCTTATATTCTGTTGTATGTCCTCTTGATTCTTATTCTAAGTATATGTAAAACACCTTAAATGAGATAATGTTGTATATGTTTCTTTGTGAAATTCCTTTTACCTGTTTCATAGTTGTTAGGCTTGTCTAGTCTATTTCTTGACCCTTTAAGCCTGAAGACAACAGGATAAAAATGGGGTAGGGATAAAGTCCTATCTTAGACTAATGGAAAGATTTCTACTTATTAATTCTACCTACCTAGACCAGTGGCTCCTGTTTCTTCTTCCCCTCCCTATAATGCCCTTTCATATATCTGAGTCCTCTGAAACGATCAGCTCACAAATGAAAAAGGTGCTCACATCTGAGTTATTTACTATCTCTAGAAATAAGCTAACCCTCAGCAAGGCCTCAGATGTCAAATTTACCAAATACAGAAAGTAAAAAGTGAAGTTGTAATATTAAACTCTCCAATTAAAAGACAAACAGGCATAAGATCTGAGGATTGAAGTTTGGAGCCAGCCTAGGCAAATTCAAGACACTTTTATTTCCAAATAACCAGCAAGAATCCAGAAGTGGAGGTGTGGCTCAAGTGGTAGAGCACCAGCCTTATATGACAAAGTCAAGCCAGAGTGTGATGCCCTGAGTTCAAGCCCCAGCCTCAATACTGGCACAAAAAAAAAAGAAAGAAAGAAAAAAAGGCAAACAACCAGAATAGATTTTGAAAAGGCACACTCCAACTCTAAGCTATCTCATTTCATATTCAAAGACAAATATAGACTGAAGTGAAAGGATGAGAAAAGATATCCTATGTCCCAAACAAGAGTGCTGATGTAACTATAATAATGAGCAAAATGGACTTTTAGTCAAAACTCTTTAT